AGAATGAATTGCAATAAATTTTGTTACAAGTTTCATATCGGTGTTTTTATAAATCTTATATTTAGAACGCATTACTTAAAGCAATGCGGTTTCTTGTAACAAAAAACAAGGTAATTAGGTTTTTCAAAGTTCTCAATGTCGGGCTCCACACGAATGGGGACACGAATGACCTATTAGTTTGTGTATCGACTAGATTGCCCATGTAAAAATGCAGCCGAATTGCTCGGGCACGGTTTTTTCACTCGATTTTGTTTATCCAGATGGCGTGCTTTTTTCCCAATGTTTAACTAAAAGAAATTTATTATTTTTTTTTATAATTCTCTGACGAATCAAATAAAGTTTAGAATAAAATAAAGGTTTAGGCTACTTTTTTTTTTACTGAATGAGGGCCTGATCAGAAAAACTGGCGCATGCTAGGAAAGAAAGAATAAATTTCTCCAATCAATCATTACATAACGTTAGCAATTCATCGTTATTAGTAATTATTAAAATGAGACTCGGAGAGGATAGACAACGGGGCCATATAGCCCACGAACGCCTATCATAGCTATGCATGTTTCTTTCAGGCCCACGTGCTTATCGGGCCCACGTGCTTATCGCTACCCCCTTTGTTCCAAATTATTATAAAAATAATCGAAACTTCTTGCAAGTCAACTGACCCTTCGTAATCTTAGCAATTAGTTTGTAAGTTTTTTTTAGCATAGATGCTACATGACATGAAATAAGACGTGTTTGACATGTATGAAAAAATGTATATATATTTCTCAAAGCAGTTAGTTTTTTTTGGTTTTCTGACACTTTTTCTTGTAAAGTTATGCTCTAACAATTCTCAAAATTAGGGAACCCATTCCGTGTTATGCCTAAATTCTACTGATATTTTTATGTGCTTGACCTTAACTCACCCGTTTTTCATGTATAAAATTCAGCCAACTTTTTTTTCTATATATTCCGTTTTTCTAGTTATAGGAGTTTAAACATTTTCAATATTAAATCAAATGAAACTATTGAAACTTAGGCCAATATAACCAGTGAGCCCGAAATAAGATTTCTAATGAAGTAAGACCCACCATTAATAGCAGCTTCAACGGTAAAAAAGCAGAATAACAATTAACCGAAGTTTGCACGCCATTTTACCCGGTCACAGTCATCCGTTTGTTGGGGCGCCAAGATATCATCCCGGATTGACATCCATACATGATAAAAACTTATCAAACATTTGCATACAATGAAATTATTTATACAATATTTTTATACATGGAGTGTACAGAAAAAGGTTTCTCATACAGTTTCCATATATGAAAATTGTATGATCAGCAATTTTTACTTCAAAAAAAGAACTTTACTGCAAAGAAAACTTCCGAAATGAAAAATTGCAAGTTTCAAGGAGAATATCTTCTCAATTTTAGTCGCAATCTCACTTTCATGCTCAAATAAGCTTTTTTCGGAAAAAAATGCATGTAATATTTTGTTATTATTGTCTACATTGTTGTCTAGCTGAAGTTTTTAAACAAAACAAGCAGAATTGACAAAAAAAAATTGTGCTAATCCGAACTTAAAATTTAAATGCCTCTATTTTGTAAAATATTTTTCAATTTGTCAAAAAAATTAAGCCACTTTTTTCGAAAAACTAAATTTTTGGCAAAAAACCTTCTAGCCAAATACAAAACATTGAGGTTTTTAATCCTAGCTCTGGGTGAAATATGAATTCTTATCTCATATAAATACTGCACGGATTCTAGTATCTGTGAGATTTCTTCCTATCAACCAAGTGGTTTCTTGTGTTAAAGCTCTCACGCCATTTTCTTGAGATTTCTTCCTATCAACCAAGTGGTTTCTTGTGTTAGAAGCTCCTTGGTTATTCTGTTTTGAAAAAAGAAACAAACCTTTAGCAAAAGGTGTGAAATACTAGAATTTGGATATATGAAAAAAATCTTATCAACTAGTTTCCATATATGAAAGGTTGCTTATCGTAGAGTTTTCTCACAATTTTTGGTACTTATGGGGCACTATTCCAAATAATTACATGTGGAGAAGTTATACATTATTTTACTTTTCATACAACGGGAACCACGAGTTTTGATTTGCAAAACTCAAAACGGATTCACTTCATCTTAAAAGTTTGCAGTAAAAAAATCTCCCAGAGTGGCTCTTGTTGTATAGCCTGATCTCCGATGGACATTTTTTGACTAAAAAAGTTTGCTTAAGTTTCGAAACAAAAACAAACAGTAACTTTAAACCAATTTTGTTGACATTTTGATGCGTTTCACTGCCTCCCAAAAATCCATGTAAATCGATCTAAATCGTTTTTTTAGACAAAAAATTCATTTTTTCATTTAATCCACACTAAATTGATTTACGTATCTAAATGGGCTATCGTATATTGATTATCATTCAGTATATTATCAAAAGAAAAATCGATTCAAATTGATTTCAATCTCAAATTTGTTAGTAAGGTTTTTTTGTTTCGTTTTTTCTTTTTTTGTTATTTTATTAAGTATAAATTCACGCTCGTTACAGTTGTCAAAATATCCTGTACTACGGGTTTTGCGCTTTATTACGTTAAATTAGGCAATTAATAGGTTTTTTTGTAGAACTTTTGAAGTTTTAATTCAAATTATATTGAAATGTTAAAATAGCATTCAAGTATTCAGATAGCATTGAAAATTTAATTTTTAATCAATCTTTGCCAGAAAAAAAAATAAAGCCCAGCGGTTCGAAATACCCAAAATTTATGAATATTCTATTTTGGCTGCAGCATAAGCTGCCTGAATTTTTTGCCACCCAATTCAGGTTTAGGTTTAAGGCGACACGTGGATCAGGGAACTGGGAATTGGACGCTTTTATCTTTTTAGGAATTCGAATCCTCTAAGAAATTATGTCGCTAAATCCATATATCGAAATTTTCGGACACCTATTTTAAAAGACAACATCATAGTTTTTCTTCAGATTCGTTTGAAGCAGATATATAAAACTTTAAGAGGGATTCCGCGCCAAAAAAACAATTTAGTTCTTGCCGTTTTGCTGCCGTTTTAGAATTTTTGGTAGAAATGTTTTTTATGATGAAAAAGTCGATGCTGTCAAAAACTTAAAGTAAATCAGCCTCCTTTCTCCTGAAATAGTTTTATCCGCTACTAAATTGTTATTGTTCCGACTTTCGTAACGAAAGTAACGGAATATTTGTACTCGGGTGGGTTTTTTTTTCTTCAGACAAGTTTCGATTTTTTAACTAGCCATTTTGGACGGGATTTTCTAATATATCATTCAAAAAGTGTTGCTGTCCTCGGCTCAAATTTGAAAAGATATTTTAATTGAGATAAAGCGGAGATTTAATCCGTCTCAGAAATCGTTCCAAATTGTTTGACAGGAAGCGTATTTGCCATAGCTGATTTGTTACTAGGAGCAAACTATATCATTTTGTTCTTTCTATGGTGTGCGGGGGGATAAATTTCACAAAAAATCTCAAAATAAAAAAAAAGTTCATTACATTTATTACATTTAATTTTGTCATGTTATTTTTGCTCTGTAGGCCTTAAGGAGGCAGTCGGAACATTCAAGGTCCCGCCCTAATACAAGCAGTTTTAATTTTTTCTTTGTAATCTTTTTGGTAATCAAAATGAATTTTCTATTGAAAGTAAGATCAAACCTAACTTGATTTAATCAATCTTATAGACCTAAATGGGACTTTTTTTGCAGATATGCAATCCGGGGCGGATTTAGGGGGGGGGGCGGACGCTTTTTCCTCTCAGGGATTTGACTTCGACCTCCTACCGACCCGAAGGTTGAACTATTTTGAGATATCCAATTTTGGCTGACGGACCCTAAAATTGTTCTAAAGGCGCCTTTAGCGCCAATATATACTTATTTTAAAGGTGGAGCCCGTGCCAAAAAAACGCTCCAAAAAAAACGCCCAAAAACGTTTTTTTGGCCTGTTTTTTCAAATTTTTGCCTGCCGCGCTGAAATTTTGGCTAAAAATTTAACTTTTTAAGGCTTTAGAGAACTCTCGGAAAAACCAATTTGGTCGACCTAAAAGGTTGGCAAAATTTCAAAAACTTTTGAAAATCCGCCTCCCCCCTCGAGAAAATCCTAGATCCTCCCCTATATACAATGCAAAGCTTAAATTAATTCGTAGCCGAAAATTTTCAAAACAAATAAATTGGTCATGGCAGCGGACTACATACAAAACGCTTTGAATTGCATTATGGCATTTCTTTTATTTAAACGTTTTTATAATTTTAACTATTTTGTCAACTTTTTAGATGGTCTCAATTGATTTTCCAAGCTCTCACAAAACACTAGTAATACCCAAAAATGTCTTCGCCTCAGTCAAATTTTAGAGAAAAACGGGCAAAAATGACGTTTTAGTGTACTTGTTTGAAAGCTTTAGTTTATTGTACATTTTAAATCCTAAGTTAAACCTATAACACAAAAAGGTCATAATATTACGTTGTTGAAACCACCTTTTTGTTCTTAGACTCTCGTCAGGGGCTGATTTAGGGGGAAGAGGCGGATTCGACCCCCTGCCGACCCAAAGGGTCCCTCTTTGGTACTTTGTAAGAAATCCATTTTTGGCCGACCGACCCTAAAGTTTTTCTAAGGCGCCTTCGGCGCCAGTAAGTATATGCTAACTTAGAGAGTGAGCGCGCGCCAAAAAAAAAACGTTTTTTTTTTTGTCAAAATTTTCCAAAAAGTGCCCCAAAACAGCTTTTTGACCTGTTTTTTCAAAAATTTGCCTGCGGAGAGCTCGCAAAATCAATTAAAAATCCCCTCCTCGGGAAAATCCTAGATCCGCCTTTGACTCTAGTAAGGCTTTCTTTATCATTTTGTCAGTTTGTGTATAATAACGGAAACAACTTTTCAAATGCCAAACGTGACATTTTTAGATTTTGAGTCGGTTGAAGGTTAAATCTAATTTAATTTTTCGTAACTTCTGAAGATGATAATCAAATTTTCTTCAGAGGTTGATATTGAAAATGCCAAAGGGATACAAGTCGATAGGTCATTACGCAATCAGTCGGTGTGTTTCCTCTCAAGGTCATCAACTTTTAAAACTAAATATTTATTGCCCTGAGAATATCCTCTATCTTTACTCACGCCTGGGTTTCAAATGATGTTATCGCTACAACTTCAAACAATGACTCCAAGTCGACGGTATGAACTTATTACAACCGCTTTTAAGATAATTTTTAAGCTCAAAAAGTAATCACCAATTTCTTTGCATGAATGATTGAGTATAATCTAATTATCAGCATTTTTTTTGTAAAGCTAGATGCGAGTCTTGGCTAGCTTTCATAAGATCCCAAATGACTATGATTTAATTTTAAAACATAGTACATCTTTTCAGCAGCGTGACATGTTCGAATTGCGGTAAGCTTAGCAAAACTGCTCTTGTCCTGGCTCAGCCGTGAAATTTTCTGTCACTTTATTTCCGACACCTTATTTTTTCTAAAGGATCCTTTGGCACCAATCCATGGTAATTTTGAGGTGAGAACCTGTTTTTGGAAAGTAAAGCGAGATCTCATACCGTATTTGGGTAGTTCGAAAAAGCAATTTGATCAACCTAAAACAAAAAGGTGGACAAACTTTATCAATTGTGTTGAAAATCCGAAAAAATTCTAAAATTCTAGATCCGCCACTGATCAATCAGATATGAATTGCATTGACTTAAGATGTTAAGACTCAAGGTAAGATGCATTTGAGTGTTTTTGTAATGTAATACAGGGAAGACAGGCAGGCAGAGAGGGGTCGTCTCTTGTTTTCATCAACCAGCCCAGAGGTCTAACCCGGAGATTAATTATTTAGGTTGACATGAGCGCATATATTCATCGTTTTTAAGCTATTTATATCCAAAACCTTCCATAAAAATTTTCCTGCGTCTAAGAAAGTTCTGCCAATCATGGTCATTTGCGGTTTTTGGCAGAGCTTGAAAAAATTTGGTGAATGACAAAGAGACGGGTCTGATCCAGACAGTGAACTTAATCGGCAATTATGAGATACAGTAAAACAAACAAGAGTGCTCGTATCAGGGCGAAGCCCTGAATGTTCCGACTGCCTATTAAGGTTTATGGAGCAGTAATAACATTAAAAAATTAAACGTAATAAAACAAAATGAAATTTTTTTTTCTAAAATTTGAATTTTTTAAATGAAAATCATCCCCCCACACGCCATATAAAGTACAAAAGGATAGATTTCGCTACTTGTAACAAATCAATTACGGCGAATAAACCAATTTGGAACAATTTCTAAGACGGATTAACTCTCCGCTTACGCGTTAATAGCGCGAAAATATATCGCGCGTTAATTGTCCAAAATTAGCCAAAATGGTAATCTTTAAACCCCCATAACTTTACGAAAAATGATCGCAGGTAAAATATCTTTTCAAATTTGAGCTCAGGACATCAATACCTTTTTAATGATATAAAAAATTCCGTCAAAAATGGCTAGATAAAAAGTCGAATTTTGTCTGAAGAAAAAAAAACCCACCCCGAGCACAAATATTCCGTTACTTTCGTATCGAAAGTCGGAACAATAAAGCAGTAGTAAAGCACCAAATAAATAGAAAAATTTTTTAGCCAAATAAAAAAGCACTATTTATTACAGCAATTTAATTTTCGTTCTCTTTGAGAGCAAGCATTATGAGAAACAATTCTTCTTTTACCGCCTAATTTGTTCAATTACTTGTCAAAATGCCTTCAAATTGTTTTTTACTCGTTGTTAAGCTCACTCTCTGTCATTCACAAAAAAGCAAAACTGCTGCTCTAAAGAAGATCGACAAACCCCACAAAAATTACTGAAAGTTTCTGCGCACGCCACTGTGTACAGAAAATCTTAACAATGTTTATCTCAAACATCAGTTGTAGAAAAATCATAAGGTTCGTCATTTTTTCGACTTCAAAATTACTGCTCCAGAAAGTTATTTCAAGGTCACTAATGATTGTTAATTATGATTTCCGAAATCTGCTGAGGATCTAAGAAAGACTATCCAGCTGTCTAAGCATAGTCCGATTCTCTTATTTCTCAAATTCCAGACTGAGTTCTTTTGGTGAGAGCAGCTCTTTTTTGGCGTCTAGAATTTTCACTTAGTTCCAATATTGGCGCTGGAGTCGGTCAGGCTGTGGTAGACTTGACGCTAGAGGTCAAGTGAAAGCTCGTCTTCAGACACCATTATTGTCATCGCAGGTGATTGATAACACAATCTGACGTTCTTGAAGTGAACGCCTTACCATTCGGTGCAAGCGCTCCACTTACTATGTTGCTTAGATAAAGCTTAAGCCAGCTTTTCAGCCAAGTTACAGTTTTTCAAACGCATTGTAGCTAAAGCAAATTTTGAAAAATTTTTATCACTTTTTGTAGTAACCTTATTAATAATGCTTAGAGTGAGTAGGGAAATAAAAATATCAAAAATCTTAAGGAATAGTTCGTTATAGTTCATTCAGCTAGATAATTCTGCACAAAATTTATAACAAGGTGTTATCTTGTTCTGCACAATTCGAAGAACGTGTTTAGGACGACAAACAATGAAATTAGTCTTCTGGTATCAGAGATTCGAGCTGTACACAAAAAGCTTTATTTTCATGGGAGTTAGTTTTTGATGGCCTTTTGAAATTTAGAATTTTTTGGCTGTTTTATCTGTTGTTTTGAAGTTTAGAGTAAATTAGTGCCAATCAAGTAAAATGTCAAAATTTCATTGAAATTTAATTTTTTTGAGAGATGATTTTCTTAAAGTTGTTTCAGCATAATCATTTGCAATCTTTTAACAATTTAATTGTTTTATCGGTTAAATTTTGATTGTATCTGCGGGCACTAGTTGATCACAATGATAATCATTTTTCAGACAACTTGTTTTGTCAAAAGAGTCAGCAAGCGAATGAAAGGTAAGCATTTTTTCAAAACTCATTGTTTACTTTTGAAAGTTTTTTTGTTTCCAAATGATTTTTTCTATTTGCGTACTTGGGCCATGATGTTGATATGCAGGTGCTTGAGATTCAAATGATGATTGACTTTTTACCAGACCAAATTTTCACCAGAAAACCTGTGAGAACTTTAACTAGGCTAGTTAATGAGGCCTTTTACTAAGCTATCCAACTAATTTTGGCCATCCTTGGGATGCTGGTCGGAGAAATAAAATTATCTCGCGGCTTTAAAGAACTTCAAAACAACTTGAATTTTAGCAAGTTTACTTTCTAGGGTAACTCAAGTATAGAATGTGAGGGCAATATCGCAGCGTCTAATGGCTTTTGTAAAAGACCTATCGGATTCCAAAATTTCAATTACTGGCCAAACTATGGAAAATATGGATAGTTTTAGAAACTTGGGTATCGAAGTTGACAAAAAAATTGAATTTGAATAATCAAACTGAAAAAATTTGCAAAAAGGTGTTGAAATTCAATGGTGTTTTTTACCGAGGAAGATCATGCTTCTCTTAACAGTCATTACTTGAGTTTTACATGACATAGGTGATTCCGATTGTTTCCTATGGCTTGATAGCGTACAGATGTACTTCGAAAACTATTCTTGATAAAATTTCCTTGATACAGAAAAAAATTACAAGAACCATTTTTTTCCTTCGTAAGTATGATCATGTGTCCGAGTATTTTTCAAAATATTGGCTGCAAAATGAGTATGAAATGTTCATCAGCCAATTATGTTCTGAGACAATGTTTCAGTTCTTAAAAGTGTCCCCCTTAAATTTTTTAAATCTTCAATCAAGAAAGATGGGTAGACTCACGCGCAGGGGTAGTTTAGGATGTTTTTCACTACCTTTAAGAAAAACAAAATTAGCTCAAGTTTCGGTGTCTTACAAAACTCTGAAATGTTTCAACTTTGATGTCAAACGATTTGTTACCCCTCAACCTTAACGAATATTCTGACAAGCAAAAGAAAGATTTTTTCGTCAAATTTAAAAAAGTATACCCGAATGAAAATCGGTTGCTTGTTGACATGGTAAAAGAATGATGATGTCTGGTATCCAAAGGTGCAACTCTAATAACTCTGTTTTTGCCTTCACTTATTTACCTAGGTTTCCCTCGGGTTACTGCCAGTTGGGCTGTACTGCACGTACAGTAACCTTGATGCAGTTCATTTGTTCTTTAATGTTCCCTAAGCTGTATCTAAATTCAAATTCAAAATAATAAGGTTCAATTGACTTTTTAAAGATCTGGTTGAAAATCGTTCTGATAAAGTTTGGTCCGTTAAAAACCCTTGACTCGTCTCAAAGAACGGGCTTATGCGAAATTTAAATTAAAATTTCAGGAGGTTAGATTCGTTACTAGACCGGTCTTTTATCGACTGTTAGCGTAGCTTCAAACACGACCGTAACAAGTAGTAACTGCTGGCTCCGCTACGCTTACATTCGGCTCTATAAGTATAGTGCATGTTAACCAGTTTATCTCAGTTAACCAGATAGCCCTACTTTAAAAATTTTTAAAATAAAAGCTGTAACAACGCGAGGTAGTCGTCTCATCCTCTGATGAAAATGTTTTCATAGTCTTGTAAAAGTCTTTAATTCAATTGTTTTGCTGAAAAGACGGTCTGGTAAAAAAATATTTCACTGAAAAAAAAAACAGTCGAGCGGCAAAAAAAGAGTTGGTTTTTCAATTTTAGTGCAAACAAAAAACCAAACAGATCTCATTGTTATCAAAATGGGGGCTGGCCTATCAGCTTTTGAGTGAATTGGAATGCCATTTATGAAAGGCATATGACTTGCTCGCTGTTTCAGGTTTGTTCATTAAGTTTGAAATTTAAATAAAAGCGCAATTGATTCACTTTTCGATTTAGTTAGACGGAATTCAATTTTTGAGCTTCTTAAAAAACTTCGAAACTTAAACACAAATCTGAGGGCAGTTTGTTATTTGTCTGAATGAACACCTATTTGAAATGATTATCGCATATTATTGGGCACTCGTGCTTAGGGAGTCGTCCCAAACATCATAAAATTGCGCATA